TAATATCATTTAACAAACGAAAAACCCGGTGTCAAAACTGAACTCGTGACGAAAAGTTGCCTTTGAATTCCGGTGGGCGTGACAACTAGGGAGGCGTCAGAACTGCCATTTATGAGGGCTGCTGTGCCTTCGTTACCTAACTGTGAAGCTGGTGCAAAAGTGGAATAATCGTAGAGATTGAATCAGACTACTTGTGCAACGAGGGACGCTACGAAGTGCCTGGGCATGGGTACCGCCTTTGAGGGCCATCTTATTTGTCTTCCAACTGCAATAGGCGACATGCACCAGAAAAAGTAGCACGAATCCGTGAATGATTGTTGTATTGCAGTATTAACGAGCGTGGTGGTCCCAAATGCGGAAAAGCTTCAGAAGCATCCTGGTATTTCCACTTTGAGCTATGTTAGTGCAGAAATGTCTTTGCGAATATGGTGTTGTCAATGCTAGTGGTCTCGAAAGCTAGTCACGTTGGCTCATATTATTTCTACCAGCCAGTTGAGTCTAATGGTAAGGTGCTTCGCGCAGATCGCAGTAATCGCGGGGGTGCATGTTTGAGTTCTACTGACGGAAGATTTTTCAGAACTATTGTGAATTAGTTGGTCTAATGACAAGGTGATTGTAACGGGGCCTAGACCTGCAGACGTCATTTGGCATTACTTCGAAAAAGCATATTATTCTGACCGAATGTTTCAGTGCTACATTAAATGTTGCAGAGGGCGCTACTCCACAATTCTGTAGGTTAGGAGGTTCTGCAAAAAGAATAAAAAAGGGGTAATCTAATGGCGCGTTAATTATACATGGCTACACCTTATTGTATTAATGTAGCTTGGCACATATTGCGAAACTCGTGTCATTCTGGCCGAGTGGTCTAAGGCGCTGCGTTCAGGTCGCAGTCCTCTTCGGAGGGCGCAGGTTCGAATCCTGCGGATGACAGTATGTTTTGCAAAATGACCGTGAAAGTGTGATTGCGCTTAGTCATACTAGTTACGATAATGTGTATTAAAGACAAACTGTAAATTTACGAGGACGCCCCCATCATGTGTGAGGTGATTGGACCACAGCAACAGAAGTGTCCTTCTCCGCTCAAACGTGCACGGGAATAGGGTTGAAAGGTAGTGGTACCCGTGCACAGATTTCCCCACTCCGACAATCCTCAAGGTGCAGCATCTCTGTTGATACCAAAGCCCAGCTGCGAACACGCTCTAGGAGCTTGAGAGCAATAAAAAGTGAGAGGGAGCAGACAAGTGGTGCGACTGGCTATGGTTGGGCATATGACCAGCCGTTGTTAGGGGTAAGGAATACATAATATCCGAAAATTCAGTGTGATTCCTTGCATATGTTGGTCATTCATGTCTAGCAAACACGCAACAGTTTTATCAGTCCGGTTCTCAATAACTCGAATCTCCTGTGTCATGACCCTTGGTTATCTAGGATGCACGGGTCGCAAATGCACATTTTCTAGAAAGTTCGCTCATCGCCTGTAACCAACCAATAGGAGGCCTTGGTACCGCCCACCTGAGCCGGTATTTATACCACCCACAATCAGGGCTATAAAGGTGGCGCGCTGAGGCCCTACGGGCTCTCGCTCGTTCTCTTCGCAGTTCTTCACGGTTTCTTCTCTCAGTTTCACTGCTTCCACATCACGAGCACATAGGGACAAGAACGAACACGATGTGCCAACACAGGAGACGAGACACAAGACGGACTGCCGCTATCGCCTGAAAAAGAAACACAAGCCACACACGCCTGTGGCAACCTGACTTGCATTTGACACGAACATGCTAGTAGTTTAGCCTCATATGTTTATGCTTGTAGTCTTAATGATTGTAGTCATATTGTATGTGTTACCAATAAATACTATGTAACTTACCACCTGAACTACCAAAACCTTGTTTGAACCGTGATGCGGTTAAAAACATCCTGAGCCTTTTCCAAGTGTGGTCAATTTCTGGTTTCGCTTGCGGTGAAGGGGCATTGTTAGCAAGACAGGTTAGGTGCGGCGCCAACCCGTTCTTCATCGGTTGTTGAAACAGTTTAGCGACAATTGCTAAAAAACGACTGATACGAACGGTATGATACTGTTCTGTCGTTTTGCTCGCTTCGACTAATGGTGGAAAACGCGTTTGCCGCCGCGCCAATCTCACCCTGCCTGCCACGCCCCTTCATCCGCAGAGAACCAGAATGTATTGTACCAATAGGTTTAGTGGATTTGGATAAAATGGTACAGCAGCCATGAAGGAAGCCAGTTTAGAGCTTTACCGTTTCGTGTGTTCATCAAATGGGACCATGATATGTATTGTGGTCCAAGCCGACATCTCGCATTATGCTATAATAAATAAGATGATTTAGCGAAATTACGATGCATAGTAACGAACCACGCGAGTGTAAGAAGGCATGCACAAACTCATTTCCAGGCCACCCTGCAGGCAGAGCTGTAATGCAGTCCTCATCATTGCGGACCGGTGGGGCGTGTCAGTGCGGCTGCGTTTGGCGCGGTGCCAAAGTCGTTCTGCACCAGTTGTTGAAGCGGGCAAGTGACATTACTGTATTATATCCTTCGTATTACTCGTTTTCTACCACTTTTCGCATACGCGTTTCACAAAAAGGCTGAGAACGGCTTCAACAGTGTGCACACTCATACTGGCTGACACGCCCCACCGCTTCGCAATGATGAGGACTGTACAAAACTAGGGTGCCCCTTCATGGACAGTACGAAGTCCATGGTAGGAGTGGTACTGGCATGTCAAGGAAGGATACACCTCTTGCGCATTACGTGGTCGTATTTAGGGGGTGCCTATCACGTCTGCGAATCTTGCAAACATGCCTCAAAACCGCGATCATCAGTCCAGAAAGTATTGTAGTGGTTTGGGTGGGCTGACTTACCTTCCGTAGGTCAGCCCGCAAAAGGTGACAGTTACCGTCCACAGAGGGTCTCCATTGAGCAGAAGTAGTCGGAACTTATGGTTACTCGTAGTATCCAAGAATAGATGAATAGTAGATGGTGGGGTTGAGAAGATGAGTTGCTTGGAAATAAGGAGCTCCTAAATTAGACTCTGAGACTAGCCTTACGGTGGACTAATGATGACAAGAGGTGTCGAGAATAATAATTAGCTGAAGCGGCCAAAGGACGCAGACAAAGCGATGACGGTCGCTGATGACTTGTCTTACTGTGGTTTAGCATGACGTCCTGTATCGTTGTATCTGCCATTATAGAACCATGGCGTCCTTAGATGAGGGAACGCCTTACTGGACTCCAACACTCGGTGTTTTTAGCCTTGGTTGAGCATGAAGGAATTTGAGGCCTTCTCTGTGGGTGTTTATATCTCAGGTTGGTTGTGTCACTGTCCTCGGAGATTGGCCGCACGATAGCAGTTCGGTTGCGATACATCTGTTTCCATATAAAATTCAAGCAGTACATCCAACACTAGGCTCTCTTCATTGTGAACTCCATCGTGACTCTCACAAGCTAACTTTAGCGGTGAGCGAAACGCCAAACAGGTAATAGTTTTCTCTTTCCGCCTTTCCACATAATGAAAAGGAGTCTGATTCATGGCTATCGATGACAGGCGCGATACATCATCGACAGTGAGTGTACATCCACACATTAGGTTTTCAGGCTGTAATGTCTCTTTTTGGAGCATTGGCGTGGAAATTTGTCCGGTATTCGGGGCATCCTCCCTACGCAGCTTCTTTAGGCCGAGATCTTACTTCGCGGCAGCCACTAGCGTCTACCAGCGTCCACCAGCGACCACCAACGTCCCGTGCGTCCGGCGGGTCAGCACCCAGGAAAGTATTAGATATTGGTAATAGCGCTACCAGCATCTAACCACGGGAGGAGACGGAGTTTTTGGGGGAGTCGACGGTGGCAGAACCGCTGGACCAAGGCCTCTGAAATTGCTGGCGTGAGCAATGGCCATCCGCACAGCTGCACTACATTTGCATAAGACTTCGTAATTCTTCGCCTTAGCACTGGTGCGATTGCAGACGCTGCAGTTTCATGGCGCGTAATCCAGCTATTTGCTACCCTCCTACTTCCCCATACTCTCTACCCCCTGTCGCTGGTGGACGATGGTGGTCGATGGCAGACGCTAGATTGATACCTGTACCTCCCTAGCCCTCGAGGCGCAGCTGCTCGCTGTTGGGCGCTAGATTGATATCTATACTTTAATCGCTGACGCTGCCGGACGCTCGGAATGCTACTGGTCGCTGATGGAAGCTGCCGCTAATTACGAACGCAGCCTTACTTTGTCCTCAGCAGCTCTTATGCGGAAGTAAGGTGGTAGAGACAGTTGTTTAAGGGAGTTAGTGCAAATGGTAAGGGATGAAATTCGTGACCATACTGTAAAAAGAGTAGAAAACAAGTGAGTGGTAATGATAAGAAGAA